AATCATTTATCCTTTACAATCTCATTATTTCAATTATGTAATTTAAGCACACTTACATAATTTTCAAAGCTAAAGCATATATATATATAAGGATGCCTATACAAAAATATAGTTTAAAGGTTCAAAAACACCTATAATTACATCAACAAGTAATAACATGTAATAGATTTTTTCAATTACCTCAATCCTTTAAGGACTTAAAGGTTAACCCTAAGAATCCACTTGCTTTTGAGCTAACACAAGCTCTTTGGTGATTCACGAGGTTAGTGTACACATAAAATTAACCACTATCACCAATAATCATCAAAATTAACACTTTCAATTTCTAAATATCACATTTTAATATTCAATTTTTTCAACTACAAGTGTAATCTCACATCTAATGAGTTCATTTACTTTTATTAATTTCATTTAGCTCCCAATAGCATATATAATAGCCAGTATAACACCTAAAACTTTAAAATAATCTTTTAGAGGCCTAAGGTTTGTCAAAATCACATAAATTCACATCTAATGACAAAACCAATGATACTTATTGTTCTAGGAGCAAAAACTAACTTCTAACAATTTCATTTAACCCTATTAATTTAACCATAACTATCCCATACCAAAATTATCAAAATCTTGTTCCCTAATAGAGTTTCATGCTACTCCTCCAACCCCCCCCTCTCTCTCTAATTTCTTGCATTTTCAAGTACTTAAAATGTGTTTATGATGTTTTGACCATAGATGATTATCCCAATTATAATCATGTTTGATCATAGTTGAAGGCACTTATTCAGATTTGCTCCCTTTTTCCATCAACCGCGAGTGGTTGTCTCTAGTAAAGGACTTAGCCAAGGACGATTGTGATCAAAGAGCATACTCCTCTTTTAAGGATGCTTGACCACGAACGGTGGTCTCTTGTTAGGTCACATCAGCAAATGGTTATAGATAGAAACTCAAATTCTCTCTCAAATTTACTCTTTAATGTTATATCTTACTCCACATTCCATTCTTGATTTGTTTAATACTCCTAATTACTCTTGGATAATTTAACTTAATATATGAACTATAATTTAGGATGATATAGTCCATTTCCTCTCCTAAATACTTCCCAACTAGTTTTATAGGTGAAGCCTGTTGTCAGTCTGGATGTATTATCCTCATATTCCTACATATGGCCTTTCCTAAAATTAGTTTTAAACAAACACCCATTTAATTTTTTTATGCATGTTCTAGGCCATTAAAAGAACAATCTTGCTGTGCACGTTGATTTTAAATTAAGACTATTGATTGGAGAAGCTAAAGAGATTCTAGGGGAGGGGGCTTGCATCTATGTTAACTTGATAAAGGTATTATAGAGATCTGTGGGCTATAGCAAATCAAGATATATGTGAAGAAGAGTTTGAATGGGGGCATGAATGTAAAGATATTGGAGTTGAAAGAATTCATTCATCCTTCAAATTTACTGAACCATTAGGGTGGGTTTAAGATATATACTAAGCCATAAGAATCAAAGGCATAGTGTGAGATTATCCCGATTATTCAAGTATGTATTAGTAATTGGTATGATCTGTTAGCTTTCTTTCTTTGTTTTTACTAAAAGGATGAAATGGATATGTTTAATCCATAATTTTTGTCTCCTTTCTTTTCTTCTTTTCTTTTATCTCAACATAGACAATGTCAAAAGCATGACAGAATCTCAAGTTATCAGGTTCTAAATATGCTTCTAATGTATATGAGATGACAAGAAATTCCAGTAATGCATAAAGTAGTAAGCATTCATGTTTGGTATATTTGTATTTCTTTTGTTCTCTTATTTGTAATCTCAGTATCAATCTTTTTTAGAGGAAAAATAGCCAAATAAACAATAGATTAAAGCTCATGCATATGTAAAATCACCATGTCTTTAATATGATCTTTAAGTAAAATTTATTCTCTTGACATTAATTTAGCAAGAAAATTTATTTTAAAGATTAATCATGGGGTTAGTAAGTAGTCAATTTTGTTTTCATTCTAGAGTTGATAACTTTCCTCTCAACTTTTATCTTTTAGTGTTGTTGTTAGATAAGACAAAAAGCTGCTCACTATATTATTTCCTGATGCATGTGATGGGAGATCATTCACTCTCAAAGTTCTTCATTTATTACTAAATTTAATAAGATGGAAATTCAATTGCCATTGCTTTTAACTGCCATTTAAAATTGTTAGGTTATAGAAAATTTTCACTTTATTTTCCTCAAATATTAGGTTAACACATTAGAAGACTTGTATGAGTAAAAGATAGCTCTTAAACAAGCCCTAGCACAAGCACTAAGTGCTTCTCTTGTCACAGGCCACAATGGGATTTTTACAAGTGAAGCAAGTGATTTACTTGAAGGGAGGCCTTAAATCAATTTTTGCCCTTCATGCTACTACATTTTAACTTATGGTTTCAATTTTAGTAACACATTTCAATTATATGCGAACTTTCCTTGTATGTTTTCATTTACTTTGTAGTTTTATTTTAAGATTTTATCATTGTTTTATTTGTTTGTCCAACATTCCATTATCCTTATATTCACTTGTTTTTGCATTGTGCATCCACGAAGAGATAAGCTACAAGTTAAGTCATTGGTTGTTGGAATTAGAGGATATTATGAGTAGAAGGGAGACTTGCCATTATTCCTCACAAGTCTATACTTTTTGCCATATATCCATTAAGGATCTATTTTTTGCAAAGACAAATTGATTGAATGAAAAGGTGATTGTATGGTTTCAATTTACTTTTTGATTTGTGCATTTATATGGAGACAAGTTCCAGCCATTAACATTATATTAACTATGATTTTAATGCATTTATCAATATAATATGACTAGTATTAACTGTGATTTTAATATATTTATCAATTTATCAATATAACATCTTTTACAAGAAATGTTACAAAAAAAATTTGAAACTTACGTGCCTACTGCTACCATAACTAGCTTGTTTGACTATTTTTCATGAGACACAATTTACATAGATTGAAAAGTAACTACTAGATTGACATATTATGATAATTAATCTTTTAAACGACAACAAATCATTCTGTTACACATTATTTTATGAGATGCGATGCACATATCATGAAAATTGACATGGGTACATTAGCCTTGGGATACAAGGCATTACCCTCAGTATGCAAGTAAATAAGTTTAGAGTACAAGGTGGTGCAAGATGCAAGGTGATTGACTTTGGGGTGCAAGCTTATAAGCTTTGGGTGCAAATTTATAGGCTTTGGGTGTACTTAAGGTGTAAGGTGATAGGTTTTGGGTGTAAGGGTATAGGCTTGAGGTGCAAGTGTAAGGCGATAAGCTTTGGGTGCAAACTTTTAGGTTTGGGATGTAAGGTTATAGGCTTAGAGGCAATGGTAAAGGTTTAAGGTGCAAGACGATAGACTTTCAGTACAATCTTACACTCTTTAAATGCAAAAGTATAGGCTTTGGTGTAAGGGTATTAGTTTTGGGTGTAAGGTTTTAGGCTGAGGGACTATCTCTAAGCATGCCTTGCATTATATGACTTTCATGTAATTGATGCATGTTATCTTAAATCAATGTTCTCTTTACATGGCAGATGAGTAGGCTTATAATGTAAATGTTTTGAAGATTAAGCACTAACATTTACATTCTTTATGTTTATTGAGTTTTTATGTAATATTTGATAATTATCATGAAAGGTTAGGCTTAATTAATGTAACATATTTATCATGAAATTTAAAGGGTACTTTTACCAACGACCCTTCACTAGTCGATTGGAGCTCTAGTAGACACATCATCACCTATTAGCAAAGGCATCGGTGCTTTTGTGAGTGAATTTTATGCTTTTTTTAAATTTTGTTAATTAACACAAATGAGCAATTTTTTTTTTGTCTATTCAACCCATTCTTTTTGAATATTATAATGAATTTGGTTTTTAATTTTATTTGGTCCTTGACGACAATTTGCCTTCAAAGGAGGTATGTTTTAACAATCCTCCCTTATGTTTTAACTCTAGCATCTCGTCGATGGGAATATGGGAGGCCAAGTTGGTGCAACCATGTAATGAAATGATAGTATCCAAACCTTGTCATTTTACATACCACGTGTCGCCTTCCCGCATGCCATACATGACAATAAGTGACCTTTTATGGCATCATTAAGGCTTGTTTGGTTGGAAGGAAAATTTTAAAAATTTTTCCTCCCTTCCTCTGCAAAACCTCCTCTACAAATTGGGAGGGTCCCCTCCCTCTCCTCCCCCCTCCCTTCCCTCCCCTCTAACCAAACTTGACACTTCTCATTAATCACAATGATTCTTTTAGAGGAGGAGATTTGGTAAGCTAAAGACCACCACTACATTATAGGAGACACCCTCAAATATCAGATCCTTTGATGATTGACTACTTCTCAAAGTATCAACGGCCCCCCTAATAACATTAAGAAAGACACATCAAAATTTAACACTGTTCAGTTATTTGATTTGGTCTAATTAATTCTTCAACACTAGCAAGATTAAAAGTTAAAACCTTGTAATGTAAAGGACATTCATCATCACCAAATGAGATTAAATTAGAGATCAGACCTTTATTGCATTGTGTCCATAATGGATAAAAGTTGCCAAGAGCACACATGCTCCTTGCCGTGCAAGATCAGAAGAACACTCTGAAAGCAAAAACTGACGCCGCAGTTAAAGGGGCAGAGAGAGAGGGGTAAATTAATACTCCCTCAATTTTTATATATATAAAAAAACTATAAATTATATCACACAATTTAAAAAATTTAATTAATTTTAATTATTATATTTAAAAATTAAAATATTTTATATTAATCAATATAATCATACATTAATTATTTTTTATTAATATAAATTATGAGAAGTAATTTAAAAAATATATAATAAATTTTTATTAAAATAAATAATTTTATTTATAAAAAATATAAGTTGAAAATGATAATTTATCTGACAATAAAAAAATCGGAGGGAGTATTTCTAAATAAGTAAAAACGTTTTCCATTGCGAAGAAGTTTGAATGACAGCGTCCTGTGCGAATCCAGGCAGCCACCGCAGGCACAGCCAGGATCGGGAAAATGTCGTTCAAGAAGGAAGCCTTCTTCATTTGTTCTCTCGTGATTCTCTGGTACTCCTCCAACATTGGAGTCATCCTCCTCAACAAGTACTTGCTCTCCAATTATGGCTTCAAATTCCCCATCTTCCTCACAATGTGCCACATGACTGCCTGTGCCGCTCTTAGCTATATTTCCATTGTTTTCCTCAAGGTTGTGCCTCATCAGACCATCAAATCCAGGTCCCAGTTCATCAAGATTGCGACTTTGAGCGTCGTGTTTTGTGCATCGGTGGTCGGCGGCAACATCTCTCTCCGGTACCTCGCGGTTTCGTTCAATCAAGCGGTGGGTGCCACCACTCCTTTCTTCACCGCGCTGTTCGCCTATTTGGCCACCCTTAAGCGCGAGGCTTGGGTCACTTATGCCGCTCTTGTGCCCGTTGTTGCTGGGGTTGTCATTGCAAGTGGGGTATGTATATTTTGTTCGCAGCATCTTGTCTTAATTACTGGTGACGATTTCTCTCGTCTTGTGCATCCAATCATACCGACATAATTTCTTGTTTTAGTATTGGCTAACATTTCAAGTCTCTTGACAAGTGCTCCTCCAGATCTGGAAATCTGTTCCAAATTAGTTACCGGTCAAAACATCTATGGTAATGCGATCAATTTAGCTGATATATAGTTGTTAGGAATTTAAGTAATTTACTTGTGGTGATATACATATACCTAAATTTCCCACCATAGCACTCTCATCTTCCTAACTTGTATAATTTAAGGTAATAAATATAAAGTATTTGCATGGAAATGGAAAACGTCAGGTGACCCGAAGGCCGAAACATTACTCCATCTGGTGTTATTTATCGCAATCTGAATTCTTCTTCTTTAGAAACATGTCCTTGAAAGCCTAATTCTTGTTAATCACCTCGAATTGGATTTACATGATTAACAATATCCATTCATCTAACGATGTACTAGTTGGACTTGGAGCAAATTACCTCGTCATGATTAGGGGCTGTTTCTAATTATCTACTATTATCATGTCATTCTGATTGTTTATCCCCAGTCCGTTGCTGCGTTTTATACTATGTGACTAGCAAGGAATATAGTTCCTTAGCGTCTGAATGAGTGAATGATGCATATTTCTGCCCCATCTCCTACGTCTTCTATGGAGTTATAATATTTTCTTGTTGGGGGCAGGGCGAACCAGGCTTTCATCTTTTTGGATTCATTATGTGCATAAGTGCTACTGCTGCAAGAGCCTTCAAGTCTGTTCTTCAGGGCATCTTACTCTCTTCTGAAGGGTAAACAATCTATGCTCCACCTATGATGATTTCTATGCTCCATTTTGTTTAAAACCTGTCCACCTAAAGTTTAAGATATGAGCTCCTAGTCTTGTCATTTTAAATATTTTACATATTTGTTCTTGGAACTTGTTCGTTTGCGGAGCTTTCTTTAAAAAGTTCATTTCCTTATTTGGTATTCGTAAATGATAGAGCTATTGTAGCTGATCAACTACAAGGGTCAAAAATGGTTGGGTTATGTGAATGATATTTCAAGAACGGATATTTATTTTACTTATTAATATAATATTCCTTATTTGCTATAATGGGTAGTGTTGGTTTTTCAGCTCTTTCTAGATTTTTTTTTTTTTTGTGTGACTGTACCGCTGAAACTTGAAAGTTAGATTGTTGAATGCCTGATCAGGCTCAATGAAAAACAGGAGGTAAAAATAAGACAAGATAGCCTCTTTCTTCATGTCCATTTATTGAGCTGTGAGAAAATCTTCTCGAAGCTATAATCTTATAGACCAGAAACTATGTTGAAAATGGAAGTGATACAAAATCGAGCTGTAGCTGCTTCCTTCTCATGTATATATGATTGAATGCAACCTCTTTCAACTGTTTCATGTTCTTATTCTGGCCATATAGCTTTGTAGACCAAATTCAGTTATTCCCTTTTCTGGTGGCAATAAATTGCTCATAAATGTTAAACTTCACTTTCAACCAAACAGGGAGAAATTGAACTCGATGAATTTGCTCTTGTTTATGTCTCCAATTGCTGTCGTAGTTTTGGTTCCGGCAGTGCTTATTATGGAGCCTGATGTCATAGATGTCACAACAGCTCTTGGAAGGGAAAACAAGTCTATGTGGATTCTTCTTTTACTTAACTCAGTGACAGCTTACGTGGCGAACTTATCAAACTTCTTGGTGACCAAACACACAAGTGCTCTTACCCTTCAGGTTTTCTCCCTATGCAAATTAATTAGTTAAAAGCTAAGTTTTTAAGAACGAATTCAGAATATTAGATAAAACCTTAATTCGCGTCTTTCCTTTTATGCTTGAAATTTTATTCTAAACGCAGATCATAATAAGTTTGCTCTGTAGTATTTTGTGAAATAGAAGTCATAAATGCTTTTGTTTCTTCAAACAAACAGAGCACTTAGACACCACGTTAACATAATTGGTATTTGTGGTTCCTCTGGGCTCTTTTTACTTTTAATTAATTGATTGTGAGAGTTGCATCCTTTCGTATTACTATTAATAATGCTAGAAAAATATAAATTAAATCCTCTACACCATGCAGTTATACATTTAAAAGAGAGTGACATGAAAGAATCTGATCATGTTTGAGATTCACATCTCATGTATACATCTATCATTGATGTGATATGCTTTGATAACTATTCTCTTAAATGTTGTGAATTAGGTTTTGGGGAATGCAAAGGGTGCTGTGGCTGTGGTGATCTCGATCCTTATATTTAGAAACCCCGTGACTGTTGTGGGCATGGCGGGCTACACAATTACTGTATTGGGGGTAGCTGCATATGGAGAAACAAAGAGAAGGTTTAGATGAACAGTATCTTTCAGTCTAAACATTCTCTTGTTTGGTTTTGTAATTTGATTTGCCATGGTTTTTCCCATATGAACATGATTTTTTGTAACTTGACCAATGGCCAGGTTGGGGCGGGCAAAATATTTTTTGTCATGCTTGTTGTATTATGCGGAAACATTTTTGTATCACAGTCAGATTTTATCAAGCAGATTCTGCTATTTCTCGTTCGCGTTCCGACAAGTATATACTTTGGGTAGGAAATTGAAAAGCTAAAGCAGTACCGTATTTGACACCATGAAAATCCTTACATTAGGTCGTAAATTTATATCCTTAGAGTTTAGTGTGGTCATGGTAGAATCTTGGTGAGAATAAATAAAGGTTGATAGAGAAAGAGAGAGAATTAGGAAGAAGTTGAGAGTAATCTTCTAGAATCAGAATCTAATCCTAGAAATAGGAGAATCTCCAAATATATCTGAATAATACTTCATTCATATTGCCGAGGGTTTCAAGAGAGGATATTTATAACAAGATAAAATAACTAAATATAACTACCCAACCTTTTTCATAAGAAACTCACAATAACAACAGATAATTAACATAAAATACTCAATAAAAGTAATAAAATATAAAGGGAAAATATGCATTTTGGTTTTTGCACAATGCTTGTGTTTTTTTATAACTCTCTACACTTTTTTTAGGTATTTTGAATCACTACACTTTTATTTTTGGCATTTTATGTTCATTCAAAGCTCTTATATTTTGTTTATTTTGTTTATTTAAGGACTTAAAATACTAAAAAATAAAAGTGTAAAAATTCAAAACACAAAAAAAAAAAAATACAGAAACCTATAACAAAACATGTGTAATCTGTAGGGAACAAAATGTATGTTTTTTCAAATATAAAATATCACAGGACTGGCACATCTTTTTCTATAATATACCAACAAGGGACGTTGGTTCCTATCATTACCCACTAGGAGAACAACCTTGTCCTCAAGGCGCAGAGAAGGAACTTGTGCAGCAATCAGATCATAAGCCTCCCGACTAGATTCCTCTTGAGGTCGATTTTTCCACTAAACAAGCAATCCGATTGTCCACTGTTTGTACACGGACATCAAGAACTTGATCTTGTTCAACTTGTAACTCCCAATCATCCGATATAGGTAATGGTGACAATGTAGTGGGAGAAATTGATCCATAGGCCAACTTGAGCAAAGAGACATGAAAGATAGGATGTATCTTTGCATTTGGAGGGAGCTAAAGCTCACATACAACCTTGCCAATTCTTTTAACCACTGGATAAGGACAAAAATACCCTGCAAAAAGCTTTTCATAATGCCTTGGTGCAAGTGAACGCTGACGATATGGTTGAAGGTTTAAATAAACCATGTCATCTTGAACAACTGCAACATTTCTTCACTTAGAATCTGGTTGAGCCTTCATACGGGTCTGAGCATGAATCAGATCCCTCATAGTACTTATTAAAGCATCGTGTTCCAAGAAGCACTGCTCAAGGTCATCAATTTTGGTTTCCCCTTTGACATAAGGAAGAAGGATTGGAGGCTCTTTCATGTAAACTACTCTGAAAGGAGTAGATTTGGAAGAAGTACGATGACTTGTAAGAAAATTCAGCCCAATGAAAAAATTGGCTCCAAGATTTAGGATATTCCCGGGAAAAACATCATAGATAAGTTTCAAGGCATCAATTGACAACTTTAGTTTGACCGTCAGATTGAGGATGATAAGAAGTACTTATTCATAATTGAGTCCCACTTAAGTGAAACAATTCTTGCCAAAATGCACTAAGAAAGATGGTGTCCCCATCCGAAACAATGGACTTGGGAATTTCATGAAGTTTCACCACTACAAAAAGTAACAACTACTGTTTTGACATATATAGGCTTGTATAAACCAATAAAATGACCATACTTGCTAAAACGATCAACCATCACAAGAATTGTATCCATGTCATTTGACTTAGGAAGCCCAGTAATAAAATCAATAGATATATCCTCCCAAATATTATTTTTGGAATTCCCAATTGTTGTAAAAGTCATGCAAGAGGAAGAGGTTGATACTTATTTTGTTGACATGTGGTGCAGTTTAAGACAAAAGCCTTAACTTCCTGCTTCATATTCCTCCAGAAATAGTGCTACTGTAGGCGCTTCAAGGTTTTCAGAAAACCTCCATGATCCCCTGTAGATGAATTATGTGCTTCTACCATGAGTTTAAGACCAAATCAGTGCATGATGGGATTACCAAATGATCTTTGTAATAGAGTCTGCCTGAAGATATAGCAAAATGTGGAACTGGATATTGATCTGTTTGTAAGGATGATAGAATTGGGGCTGTAAATTCATCATTTTGCAAGCTTGAAGGTAGATCATCAAAGTTAGCTACATGAGGAATGATTAAAGTAAAGAATTGCGTTGAATAGGGGCATCAAGAAAGAGCATCAGCCCCTTGATTGGAGCTGCCAGCCTTGTAAATAATGGTAAACTCGAAGGGCAGCAGTTTCATCAATAAACGCTGCTGTTCAAGAGTTGTAATTCTTTGCTCTAACAACTAACAAATATGTAAGGCTACAATGGTCAGTGCGTACTTGAAACTTGCGGCCTATTAAGTAATGCCTCCGTTTTTTGTAATGCAAAAACCAGTGCAAGTAATTTCCTATCATAAACAGATTTATGTCTCTTTGAAAAAGATAAACCTTTGCTGTAATAAACAATTAGATGACCTTCCTGTTGTAAGACAGCCTTAATGCCTGCAGATGAAGCGTCACATTCCACAACAAAAGACTTATTAAAATTTGGAAGATGAAGCACTGGAACAGTAATTAATGCTTGCTTCAAGTTGTTGAAAGCAATCAAAGCAAAAGCACTCCATTTAAAAGCATCCTTTTTGGTCAAATCTGTTAAGGGCTTTGCCAAATTTCCATAATGACGTACAAAACGTCTATAATAGCCTGTCAACCCCAAAAATCCACAAAGTTCTATTACATTTTGAGGAATTGGTCAATTCTTTACAACAGCAATTTTTTCCATATTCATTGCTTCTCCTGCACCACTAATTACATGACCCAAGAAAGATACTTTTGTTTGAGAAAATAAGCACTTTTTGGGATTAGCAAAGAACTCATGATGTTTCAAAGTTTGTAAAATGATGTGAAGATGAGCGATGTGTTCATGGAAGTTTCTACCATACACCAAGATATCATCAAAGAAAACTAGAATAAATCTTCACAGAAAAGGACAAAACATGTCATTCATTACAGCTAGAAAGAAGGAAGGTGCATTGGTAAAACTAAAGGGCATTACAATAAATTCATAATGTCTATAGAGGGTTCTAAAGACTGTTTTGTAAATATCTTCAAAATGCGAATTTGATAGTAACCAGAACATAAATCAATCTTAAAAAAATAAGATGCCCCACATAATTCATCAATAAGTTCATCAATATTGGGTATGGGATACTTATTTGGAATGGTGATTTTGTTGAGTTTCCTATAATTAATACACATGCACCAAGAATTATCCTTCTTTGGAACCAAGATCACGGGGCTAGCAAAGGGACTTGCACTAGGATGTATGAACCCGTTGAATAATAACTCTTCAACTTGCCTTTCAATCTCATCCTTATGAGTATGTGGATGTCTATAAGGACAAATGTTTGGTGGTACAACCCCTGGATATAAAGGAATGGTGTGGCAGTGATCTCTCATGGTTGGTAAATTAGATGTTTTAGCAAACACAGTAGCATATGTTTGTAACAAATCCTGCAAATATTGATCTGACAATGAAATAGCATCATCATAAGAAAGACTTTGTAGGGAAGCTACTGCAGGTGACTTATGTGGAATTCCTTTGAGCTTGTAGCACCTTCCATTAACCCAAAAAAACATGAACATTTTCTGCCAATTAGCTTGCACTGTGTTCAGAGAGGTTAGCCATTCAATTCCCAAAACCATATCTGCACCTCCAATAGAAAAGGGATAAAAATCATCCTTAATGGTCAAGCTTTGTACGTATACCTCAAGTTGTTTGCAAATGGAATGGAATAATGCTACCAATTCCAATCTGCACCCTAAAAGAAGTAATTTTCTGGACTGGAATTTGTAATTCTGCTACTAACATTTTTTAGATGAAATTGTGTGCTGAACCACTATCAATTAAGGTGAGAACAGCTTTGGAGAGAATAGAACCTTGTAGCTTCATTGTTGCTGGCCTAAAATGGCATGAAGGGAAATATCTGCAAAATCAGAATCTGACATTATATTGAGTTCATCATTCACCAAAGAAGGCTGTTCAGGATCTTCATTTATCTCCATGAGTTTCATAGATGAGATTCTGCATTTATGACCAGGGACAAATTTATCTCCACATCTAAAACACATCCCTTTAACTCTACGTAATCGTTTGTCAGTTTCAGAAATTTGTGGAGTGGTGGTAACTACTGAAGAACCTCCAATAACTGCTGAAGGTAACTACAAAAAATTAATTTTATTTTCTCTCACTTGATAACTGCCCTCTCCAACACATGGGGCTGTAAATCCGTTAGGAAACCTAACTGTTGGTTGACTCAACAATTTTGCTTCAAATTCGATGGCAAGGCTCGCAGCCTTATATACAGTTCTTGGCTTTTGAATTTTAACATCCGCCTGCAGTTCATCTTGTAAACCATTAATAAATACTCCCAATAAACAGTGTTTTGGCCATCCACGGACCCGTGCTGACCTCTTAGCAAATTCTTGTCGATATTCATGTGCAATACCGGTCTGTTTAATGTTACATAAATAAACATCTGATTTTGAAAATCTGCTGGTCCAAAATGATCTTGAAAAATTTGGATTAATTCATCCCAGTACCTAATAGTACATCCAGAGGTCATCCACGTGCAAATATCTAATGCATCACCTTCCAAACTCATGGCTGCAACATCAAGTTCTTCTAGAGTTTGATAGTAACGAAAATATTTTTCTGCCTTCATGAACCACCCACGTGGGTCCCCTCCTTCAAACTTAGGAAATTCCACCTTGGAATGGGGACGCTTGGTTGGGTTTTTCCTCCACCATGAGTTTTCTTGCTCTTCATACTCTGCAGAATCTTCATTGGGAGAGCTACTACTACCTTCTGTTGCCAATGGGTTTGATTTGGCACGTTTTAATTAAGTCATCTCCACATCCAAACGATCTAATTTGGAAATGATTGTAGATAATTGGTGCGCAAAT